CCATTCCAGAATGTATATCTATTTCAAAACATGTTATATACCATAAATACATAAAATTTTTATTTGTCAATTAAGGAATCAGCATAAACTCTACGATGCTTCAGAAAGATCTGATTACCATTTGAAGACAACGTCTTTGGCAAACACCCATGGGTTGGGAGACCTTAATTACATATGTATCTAATAAAGGGGGACAAAAGCCACCATGGTTTTCAATTTTAAATTTTATTAAAGTACAGAGTTAACAAGTTTTGAGTTTTTTACATAGGAAAAGACTGGTCACCTTCAGATGCCTTATACAAAAATTAACATTCAAAAAAACATATATAAATCCATAATTGGTTTTGTGACTAAAGGGGAAAAATAACTATTTTAGAAGTTAGCAAAATCCTAACCATATCAGAGACCATTATAAATTTCAAACAGTAGATTTACCACACATATTGCATTTTCGAATTCTAATATAGCAAAACATAACCACATAATTTGGCTATAGCTTATTGTTTCAGAAAAGTTTAAAAAATTAACAAAGTTATATTTATAAAACTTTTGTAGAGTTTTTTTTTTTTGCAAAGTAAAAAAGCTTAAATCTTTCATAAAGTAAAACAAAACAATTCTCTTAAATTTCTTATAAATAGCCCTCAAGACATATATTACACATCTGTCGTAAGCTTTCTTTACCTGAGAGAACATCCCAGGATCCTTTATGCCCAAAGGATTACCTTCAAGAGTTCTTCCATCATGTCACTCACATGAATATGATGAAACCCTTCTACAGAAAAAGACTGGGACATATGCATTCTTAATCTACCCTTTCCCCATTTAAGTGTCTCTCTGAAAGAATTGTTTTTAAAAAAAACACTCTTTGGTAAAGCCAAATATTTCAACCTTTCAAAATGACCACTTTTGTGAATGAGGAAGAAAAAAAGAGAGAGAGATCTAAAGATCTGTGGGAACAGCTCTCCAGTCTTGTGAAGCCAAAGGTCCAACATTAGAGAACCCATCTCTGCCTGAAACGCGAAACTAAGTTTATTAGCAAGTTACGGAGCAAATCCTACAGAGAATCCTGTGAGCCAAGTGGGTGCTGCATTGTCCTTGATGAAGGAGGCCCCAGTGTCCTTTCTGGGTGTGCATGGTCTTACTTAGCTCAAGGCCAGTCCCTTCCTCCTTATAGGTTAAGCCCTCTTTCATTTTGAAGAGGAACAGGACATGCGCGCACACCAAAATGAGACGCTATTTAGAAAGGCAACAAAGGGAGGGGAAAAGCCCAGGCAGTTTAGACACAGGCTCTGGAATTCCCTTCACAGGGTAACAGGAAGCACCAATGGTGGTAAAAATTTCTGGCAAAAATTAAATAAATACATCATCTTAAAAAGGCAGAGGGTGACAATGCTGGGGTAAGCTTGGGGAATTAACACCACACTGAGGTCGTTCATGACGCAGGACCCTCTAGAGGAAATGGAAATAAGCAATGTCGTATGGCAAAGAGAATCCCAAAGTCCCAATAACCCCACCCTCCATACAGCCCCACATGCACCTCTGTCTCCTCCACAGAGCAGCCTCAAATACCTCTGGCAAACAGTTACTTCAGACAATTTCCTAGGAAACTGTGAGGACAAAATCAAAACCAATTAAACAGTATTTTTTTAAAAAAGCTCAACTGGGCAGGAGAGTGGTAAGGTTTCCCAAGTCTTATAACAGAAATACAGTCGCTAATCTTCAGTCAGGTAACGCATCTAGGTAGAACACTCCCGTAAGAACAGCTCCTCCCACTCAGTGTTTGTACTCATGAAAGTAAGAAGGAAAAAACTTTCTACACCAGATGAATGACACAGAGAAACGTACACATGCAATTCTCAAAAATCTTCTTCAACTTTCATTGCTAAAGGCGTCTGACCAGCAGCTTCTGGGAATACACTTTCTAAATCCCGTACAGAAAGTTGTAGGAACCAAAGGTCTATTATTTGAAAAAGTTACCAGTGAGTTAATCAACTTAACATCACTATTATAGCAACTCAAAGCAATTGGCACAATTTTTCCAGTTTCTTAAATCATAATAGCACAAAAATGTAGACTCTTTAAACCCATGCGTGTTGACTCTTCACCTGAGTATTGTTTGTCACAATTAATAATCATTCATGTCAACTTATTTATATGCCCTCCGTCCTCAGAGTAGTACATCCACTTCTTTTTCGGTCATCCAGATAAACCTGCTAGCATTTTCACAAATCAAAGCAATTGGAACTCTTCCTCTGGCATCAGACCAGCCTTCAGAAGGGAACTGTATGCCACGAGGCTTGCGTGGCTAGAAAATGTGGGCTGGCTGGGCTGGCCCCAGAAGGAAGCTACAAAGGGCCTTCCACTGGCAATGTCTCCGGTTTGTGTTTCCCTGAGCTTCTTTCTGCAGAGGAAAGGGGGCTAACAAAGGCCAGCCAAGGAACACGTGGCCTTGTCAACTCAACCTTGACCTGGTGGAAGGGCCAGTTCCAAAGCTGTAGCAGCTGGCTGACAGACCCAGCTGAGAAGACAGATCGAGGACTCTATTAGACTCCAGCAGAAGGGAAACACGATGACACCAGTTAGGACACTACCCTGGCTCTTGATCTGCTTGTCTCACGGTGTTCCCTGAAGACAGTCTTGGCTCACCCAGAGCCCCAGGTCACTGCACTACCCAATGTGTGTGACATATAGCCCCGCCCCCCAAGCCTGGTCCTGGCCCACAGAGCGTCCACCGCCACTGGCCTAACTAGGGTATCCCGGGTTAGTACAGGGCTATTCATTTTGAGATTCTGGATGGATCTTCGAATTCTAAGTACAAAGAGCTTTTGCCCTTTAAAAAGAAATCTGATGAAGTTTACCAAACAAGGCTCTCTTACACACACAGAGCGCCTTTTAAAACTGAATCTCAAACACTGTAAATAGCAACGTTCTAAAGGAATTCATCCCCTGTGTTTGGTTCTCCCTTGGTTTTCTTGGGAGGAGGGCAAAGAATTGAATAGAAATGAAGAGTCTGACAATTTCTCCCACCAGCATTTTGGCACAAGGGAGCCCAGCTCAGGAGGGTTCCAATTCCACCCAACTTGTACAACAGGCCTCAGAGAAAACATCTAGGCTGTCCTTTTATGCTCTCAGACCCTGGCTTCCAGGGAGCTCGAGAACACTCTTTCTACCCTGCACGAAATACTAACAGGAGAGCCCCCAAGGCATCCCCACTGTGTGTCTTTAACACATTGACTGCCACACTAGAAAAAGAAAATTTTTTCTTGGGGCCTCAGTGTTTTATTAAAACAAAACAATCCTTTCTAATTTGTTGTTTTTTATTGTTTTCTGTACGTGAGTTATATGCAACGCAATCTACATGTTTAGAATTAAACTGTCAGTGTTAATAACAATAAGAACATCAACGAGTAAGAGTTTCATGAACCAGCTGCAGGGTTTTGCTTCACGAGGCCCAGGCTCAAAACAAGTGACATGGCAGTCAATGTGTTAATGGACCTTGCACTGAGTACACCTCTTCCCTGACCAAGAACAGCAACACTGAAAATGGACATCTTGGGTAGCTGCCGAAAGTCAAGTCCCTGTGGGTATTACTTTACAAGTATGTGTTCTGGAAGTTTCTGTGGAGGTTGTCTATGGCTTAATTAAATACCCCCAACCATCTACCTTTTCTGAAAGTATATCTGGTCACTTCTACAACTAGTCCAACAGGCCGGATCTGCCTGCGGGCTGTGTGAGGTGGTGCCTGGGATCCTCACCTCAGGAAATTCTCCCCTCACCAAACCTACGCCAAGGAAACCATAATGGTCCCATTAGGGATCTGGAAAAAAAAAAAGCTCTTTTGCTCTGACAATTTCAAAGGCCTCAAAAGGTGGAGGAGGAAAGGAGGGGCCGACCTTAATGACTGAAAGAGGGGTGCAGCAGGCTTCCTCAAGAAGCATCTTTTCAGGTCAGGTCCTTAGAGCATTATTATTGTTTACGGCACACACAAGTGACAGCCCTCCATCGCACAGGCAAAGGAGACAACATGAACCTTGTTCTATAGTCGTGTGAACACCACCACAAACCAGCGCCACACTTATTGCAGTAACTCGGACCAGGTAGTGACGACACAGTGGGGAAACACACGGTGGAGATCAGGCGAATTGTGCTTTTTCACATTATTATTGAATACGAAGATGCTGGGCCCGGAAAGGATGAGGGGACCCCTGGGAAGAGAGTCAAGGCTGTGATTCCCAGCATCACGCCCTCACAGGGAAGCAGCTTGTACCCTATAAATATCAGGGGCCCTGCAGGCTGCGTCCCGGGCTCAAAGCCCACTGGGGACGAGGCTCCAGGAAGAAGTGAGAGGGGTCTGGATTCTATCAGGGGCGGGGGAAATTTTGGCATGTTTTGCTATTCCAAGGATGAGAGTGACGGGTCACACAAGGTAGGTTTTTATCTCTGTGAAGAGACGTTGTGCCCCGAACTCTGTTCTGTTTTAGTAAAAAAAAAAAAAAAAAAAAATGCTTCGAAGAGACAGAGCAAGCATCAGAACCAGACTCAGATATGGCCGGGATGTCGGAATTATCAGACCAGAAGTTTGAAACTACTGTGATCAATACGCCAAGGGCTCCAATGAATAAGGTAGACAGCTGTAAGAACAGACGGGGCAATGCAGAGAGATGGGTGTAACACACACATAATGGGAATAGCAGAAGGAGAATAAAGAGAGAAAGGAACAGAATAAATATTTGAAGAATATTTCCCCATATTAATGTCAGATACCAAACAGCAGATCCAGGAAGCTCAAAGAACACCCACCAAGCAGGCTGGGCGGGGTGGCTCACGCCTATAATCCTAGCACTCTGCAAGGCCGAGGTGGGCGGATTGCTCAAACTCAGGAGTTCGAAACCACCCTGAGCAAGAGTGAGACCCCGTCTCTACTATAAATAGAAAGAAATTAATTGGCTAAGTAATATATATATAGAAAAAATTAGCCAGGCAT